AATGTTAAATATAATTTTTCAAGGGATAATTCGGGGGATATTAAATGGTACAAGTAATTATAATTATTGCATAAAACCCGGAAAGGTTCATGCTGGGAGTAATTAGATCTACATATGGATAATCGGATGGGGCGGAAAGTACGGGTTGGTCTGGAGGGAACCGAAAAATCGATTCATCCCAAAAGCGTTTGGGAGTTCACAATCCGGCGAACCAACGAGACGTACAGTGCTTTAGTTATATACGGATCGTAAAAACTCTTTTGACCAACGCTTAATAAACATTAGAACTCCCTTAGCTTTGTTAACAGTTGAAGCAATATGGCTATTAAAACATAGCTTGTGATCGAAAAGGACTCCTAAGTCATTTGATGTGGAGATTCGATCCAGAACATGGAGTCCTAGAGAATAGGAGACCAAATGTGGTGCACGGCGGTGAAAAGTCATAAGTTTGCACTTAGAATGGTTCAAGAAAAGTAGGTTATTTGAACACCAAATGCTTAATTCATCAAGGTCAAGTTGTAGGCGAGTATGCAAGTACCAGTCGGAAAAGGAAAAACATATTTTAACGTCATCAGCATACATTAAAGTAACTGAGTGCAAAATAACTTGGGGCAGGTCGTTCACAAACCAATTTGAAAAGAAGCGGACCTAAATGACTTCCTTGAGGAACTCCAGAGGTTACTTGCACAACATTCGATAAGACATTGTTAAACAAAACACGCTGTGTGCGATTCGACAGGTACGATGATATCCAATTTACAAGATTTGTGGGAAACCCTAATAAAGAGAGTTTATGGATCAGCAAAGTATGATTAACAGAATCAAAATCTTTACTGAAATCTGTAAAAAAGACGTCAGTCTGCAAGCCACTTTGAAATCCTCGGTTGATTAGAGACGAGAATTCTAAAAGGTTAGTAGATGTTGATCGATGTCTAAAAAAACCATGTTGCGTCGGGGATAAAATGCTAGAACATGCGTGTTGCAATTGACGAGTAAAAAGGTGATCGAGCAACTTCGGAATGGCAGATAGTTTAGCAATACCACGATAATTTTCGATATTAGATCTGGACCCTTTCATGTGAAGAGGAATAAGGTAGGATTCATTCCAGCTCATGGGGAGGCGAGAATGCTCCAGGGATAAATTAAATAAGAAGGTCAAAGGATGAAATAGGGCTTAAGCGCAGTATTTTAAAATACAGCTCGGAACTTTATCTGGACCCGCAGAGAAACAGATGTCAATTGATGACAACCCTTCGAAGACTGTACTTTCATCAAGGAAGGGAAGAAACACGTTATTAACATGAGGTAGATGATATGGATAAGGGGTGGAGGAGTCATAAGTATCCGAGGAGTACGTCGATTGAAAGAAGGTGGCAAATAAATTTGCAATTCCTTGATCTGAAGTTTCTGTTTCAGACTGTAACTGAAGGGAAGAAGGGAACGCGTTAGACTTGCGTTTTGAGTTGACGAACGAAAAGAATTTTTTGGGATTACTACGGAAATTTTTGCCACATTGGGAAAGATATACGTTATAACATTTCTTATTGACCGTAAGAAATTGAGAGCGAACCGAAGAATATTGAACAAAGACAGACAAAGAACCAGTTATCTGGTACTTTTTGTAGAGCCGAGATTTTTTATTTTTTAGGTAAGACAGATACTTGGAAAACCACGGAGGCTTAGAGGAAACAAATACGGTGACTTCAGGACGTAGGTATCGAGGGCAGAGTATAATGTTTCGTAAAACAGATTGACAGTAGGCTCTATATGAGATGAGGACTGAAGAAAGGACCAATCAACTTGCGAGAGATGTAGACAAAGATCGATAAAATTAGTTTTGCGAAAACATTTTATACGACTTTTTGAAGGTAAAATGGTGTTAGTAATAGAGACCTTGAAAAATATAGATAAAGTAGGATGATGCGGATCTTCGGGAAAAGATATCGGATTGCCTCTTAAAACCGTTGTACGAGAGGCATCGCTGACAAATATCTGAGATCTAACAGTCTATCTCTATTATTTCTGACAGAGTTAATTTGGGCAAGCGAGACGTCAGTTACCCCCTCGACGAAATCATGTTGACTTCCAGGTAGCAACATGTTTGAATCATCCTGTTGCCAAGATAGAGATGGGATGTTAAAGTCACCCATAACTAGTATCTGATCAGCACAGCCTAAAGCAGAAACTACAGACCGAATTGCAGAAAGGTGGTTCAAATAAACAACGGCATCAGATCTGGGTGGGATATAAGAACAGGTCAAAAAGATATATGCTGTTCCAATACGGATTTTGACTGCAACGAATTCGATACCATGGATGTTGTAGAATGGAAACAGCTCGGATGCAAATGCTGTTTTCAATGCAATTAGAACCCCACCAGCGAATGATGGACGATCCATTCTATAAGTGGTGAACTTGTGGACGAGAATTTCGTGATCAGAGACAGAGGAGTTAAGCCAGGTTTCAGTTATGTCGATAGCGTCGAATTCAAAAGAGGCACTGTCCGTATGTATTTTAGACAATTTACCTAAAAGACTGCGTACGTTCTGATATTGGATGGAGAAATGGTTCCTTAGTTTTTTGAAATCTTAGGGAGAGTAACTCGAGGATTCTGGGTAGAGTCTCTAGGCAGAAATTCATGCATAATAGTGTGCTCAGACCATGCAGCCGGTTCCAAAGCTTTGGATACAAGAGAATCGGGAAGAAGAATTTTGAAAGATGAGATATTACGCTTATGTGTAAAATTAAATTTAGTTATAATAAAGTTATCCGGCGGCGATTGAAAATAAGAGCTTAGATGTAGTTTGACATCATCCGGTGTGGCTTCGGGTAGACGGCAGATTGCTTTGGGGGGACCACCGCACTGAGTGGAACACCGGAAGCCTGCTTCGCGATTGAAGATAAGAGCTTAGATGTAGTTTGACATCATCCGGTGTGGCTTCGGGAATAAGACGAGAGACAAAGATTGCTTTGCGGGGGACCACCGCACTGAGTGGAACACCGGAAAAGCGAGCTGGTGGAGCTACTCCTAAAAGTCTCAGGGCGGGAGCTGAGGAGCTAGAAGAGGCTGCCGATCCATCACCATTCAATGTAACAGAGACCGGCAAATCATTTGCAACTGGAAGCTGGTTACTGTTAGGGATTCCATCACTGGCAACTGAGTCCGAAGTTAAATTGACAGGGGTATGGATTTTTGAGGCAACTACTATGTTGTTAGGCGTGAGAAAGGCTGGATCCGCCGATGGCGGATGGGCATCCATCGGTGAAGGTTGGCCACTAGGAGTAGAAAATGAGTCCATCGGTTGTAGGTGAGAGGCAGGCGTTACACTAGGTAAGACCAGCAGTAGGTTGTTGTTCGGTATTTTCCTCCTTGGTGACTCGCTCAAGAGTTTGAGGCCCAGAAATTGCGATTCCAACGTAAGGAACTTCTCGTTGAGAGCATTGAATTGCTTCCGAACATCTTGGAAACCATTCCTCGTTTGTCTCATAAAGGTGCGCATTTCCGCCTCAATCTCCCTGCAGGCCAAACATGACTAAGTTAGACCGTTTCGATATTAAGTCATTAAGACGTCCAAAGTGACCACCTCCAGCACATTTTATATGAGCGTAATTATCACAAAGCCAGCAGCTGAGGTAGGAATCACCGTTAATGGTGCCACCAAATTCGCATTTCTTTGCACTGCAGATAAGAGCCATTTTCAACAGCTGTTGGGTCACTGTGCACAGCGAGAAAAAAGACGCACTGAGAGGACAAGCTAGATGAGAGACCAGGCAGCAGCAGCAGCAGAAAGAGCACGATGATCAGCAGTTATGTATGTACGTATGTATGTACATATATACAGGGCAGACGGCGCAGCGAAGTGACGAAAGCTAACGGCGAACTCCAATAAAGCAAAGCAGAGGCGCCGAGATATTAGTCCATAAACGAAGAATGCAGGCGTCGTATGGTGAGAGTGAAAGCCAGAGTGCAGCTCGCGTGAAATCCAGAGAGTGAGTAGGCAGTGCAACGGATTATGCGCGAGAACGGTGAGTGCCAAAGAGAAATGAGTCGATGAGTCAAAGCAAAGCAACCGATCGAATAGCAATAACAATTGTCTAAACAAAAACAATGCAATGCAACGCTCCACTGTTAGCTGTATGTATGTATGTATGTTTGTTCGGCAGCCACAGAAAAATTATAAGTTAATAAATCAATTTAAAACACTGAGTATACACAAGCTTTATAAAATATGAATATGTGTGTAACTCCGATACTTAAGACCAAATTGAATTAATTACAGTTTATAAGTTTATAAGTTTATTTTTAAATTTTTGTTTTTTTTTTTGATTAGGCGAAAAATGCGTGAGCGATGCAGAAACACGACCGGCTTGCTTGAGAGCTTGCCGAATATATTCGGCCTTATTATCATTATTCATTTCAAGCAACATGATTAGATTGTGCAAGAATATATTTTGGTGCTGAATCAAATTCACAACCACTGAACAATTATTAAAATTCATTTAAATTATAAAAGAAAAAGATTTTTCGCCGCACCAAATTGTGTGCATCAGCTATTTATCATGGATGGGGGATGGTAGATGGTGCCAGTGGGAATCGGTGTTTCACATATTTCAAAAATAGCCACCAGTTCCCCGGAATGGGCTCAGTGTGCGGAGGGTATTAACCTAGACTGAGATGTTTGACTTAGAACTCCTGTTTCTGTTCATGAAGTAGTTGAATTTAATTTTGCCATAAGCTTATGCCTTGTTCGGCTTTGTTAAGCGAAGAAGATGAATTGCTTTGGTAATAGTGTCAAATAAATTTTAATGCATCTATAAGACTTTGTTTCTCTTGCAGTCAATATTCGCGTAGAAAAGTGCAGAGCAGTGTAAGGAGGCTATAAATTATGAAACTAAAATCATTACGTGTTCTACCAATCACTGTTCCAAATCAATGCCAACCTATCGATGCTATGTTAACGCACAGCATACATATTCTTACACACATACATATATGTTGGTTATTTCTATGTATAAAATGAAAAAAGGAGTAGGTAAAACAACGCGACAGTTCCAGTCCGGAAAATTTCCATCCAAGAGAATACCTAAAGATGTCTTAAAGCGGACATTCGAAATTGCATCTTCTTCAATTGATGAATTTTGGCTAAACAAAAACTGTTCATGCTCCCCACCAACTAATTATGAACTGTACAATGTTTTGAATCGCTCGATCACCTATCAGAAGCTGAGTTTGTCACGAAATTTCTCAATGGTTCGGGACTGTAAAAACGTGGAAAAAATCTTAACTTCAAACGTTTTGGGCGAAAGTTTGCTAAAAAAAGGTTCCTTTCCAATATTTTCAGAAGTAAGTGAATGTCTTTAAATGCAATTCACAATGTATTTTATTCTATTTAACGAAGCCATTTTTATAGTGTCTCAAAGCTTAAATGAACCATTCAAACTGAAAAACTTAGAAGTGGTATAACTTCTGAACCTTAGCACTGAAAATCAAATGTATACTGTAAACTAGCTTCATTTATTTTTCAAAATTTGCTTTAAGCAGTTTTAAAAATTTATTTAAAAAAATCTGCCTCGTTAATGGTTTTTGTTTCCGAATTAATACAATTGTCTATAGAAAATTAAATATAGAGCTTATAACAAAGAACGTGAACGCTGTAGCGATGCCAGAAGATCATGGGACATTTATTTATATATTTAATAACTTACTATAAGGTTTAAACCTTATAATAATTTTCCTCGTAAGTCATGGGAGATATTTGGGCCCATATATCAGCAGCTGGTGTTGGGAATGCGGATTTCTTTTATCGATGAATAAAAAAAAAAAAAATTAAATGCACCTTTTACCTTGCTTATTAGTAACTAAAATTGCAGCCTATGAGTCTATTCGAATGATCGCCAAAAAGCTAATTTTTTGGCATAGGGTAAAGCAAAATAGAAATAAATCGTAACTGTAAAATTTCTGCAGCCCGCTCTTATCTCCTACTTCTGTCACCTTTACTGCTCTAACATACACAGCAAAAAGTTCAGCGAAAACTTACTCCGTAAATGAGGGAATCGAAGTGAAAAACGAAAAATGCATTGAGTCTATTGGACCAGAACATTATAAAACGTAAAAAGTACTTAAAAACAGAACTTACAGAGGGGTGTGAAAAAATTACGCTATAGATCACAGTAATATTGGTCGAATCGATACAAAAATGGCTGAAAAGGGCTATAAACGATAAGAGAAACTTAGAATATATAAACATTTAGTTTAAAAGTAAAATAGAAAAATAACGAGAAGGAGCGTGTGAGTCGTTTCTGGGGACGCGACTACTTTTATACCCGTACTCAGTCAGTATATAAATTTGAAATCTTATGATTTATGTAGAATTTTACATTTTTATACCCGTACTCAAAAAAGAGTTAAGTGGTATATTAGATTTGTGGTAAAAGTGGATGTGTGTAACGCAGAGAAGGAAACGTTTCCGACCCCATAAAGTATACATATTCTTGATCAGCATCAATAGCCGAGTCGATATAGCCATGTCTGTCTGTCCGTCTGTCTGTCTGTCTCGATGAGCGCCTAGATCTCAGAGACTATAAGAGCTAGGGCAACCAAATTTGGTTTCCAGACTCATGTGATATCCCACTGTTACAAGTGTATTTCAAAATTTTGCCCCGCCCCCTTCCGCCCCCACAAAGAACGAAAATCTGTGGCAGGCACATTTTTAAAGATACGATAAAACTAAAAACGCAGTATCGTAGAGAATGACCATATAGCCAGAATGAAGAAATTAATTTTCAGTTGCTTCCCCCGCCTCCTTCAGGAAGACCCGTTCATTCATTCGAAAAATGAAGCATTTACGATAAAACTTAAAACGCAGTATCGTAGAGAATGACTATATCTACCCAATTTCCGTATATTAATATAGCCAGAGTAAAGAAATTAATGTTCAGTTGCTGCCCAATTGCCGTATATTAATATAGCCAGAGTAAAGAAATTAATGTTCAGTTGCTTCCCCCACATCCACCAGCAAGATCTGGCTATAATTATGATCCGATCTGATTCAGATTCGGCAATCTGGTAGATATGGTCATTCTCTACGATACTGCGTCTTCAGTTTTATCGTATCTTTAAAATTGTGCCTGCCACAGATTTTCGTCCTTTGTGGGTGCGGAAGGGGGCGGGGCGAAATTTTTAAATACACTTGTAGCAGTGTGATATTCCATGAGTCTGGAAACCAAATTTGGTTGCCCTAGCTCTTATAGTCTCTGAGATCCAGGCGACAAACAAGACGGACAGACAGACATGGCTCTATCGACTCGGCTATTGGTGTTAATCAAGAATATACTTTACGGGGTCGGAAACGTTTCCTTCTCTGCGTTACACACATCCACTTTTACCACAAAACTAATATACCCCTTAACTCTTTTTTGAGTACGGGTATAAAAAATAGATGACTTAATGATGCATTAACATGAATTTGACATCATTACCAGTGCAATTGAGCTTGTGCCCTTTCATTTTTATTTAAACCAATTTCAAAACTAGATCTGAAAAAATTGGTCAGGGCAGAAACAAAAAGGGAATTCATTTCAAACATAACAGAGGCCTCTTTGTATGAGCTGGGCACTAACGCGTGGGTATAACAGCAGTCAATTTGGCGCTTAACAGTACAAAGAGTAAACCAGTTCACAAAAGTGTATTCCAGAGCGCCCTGAAATTAAAAGTATGACTTTTTGCTGAAAAGTAAAACGCGAAGTGAATGTGAAAACCGGAGCCTGCCTGACAACCTTTTCATGTACGACCACGTTTGATATCAATTAACAATAAATCAAAAATTCATCTCAGGCAAAAATGGAAATTTCTTTGTCATGATTTTCTACCATATTTGAGGTGGATTTTTAAGCCAAGAAAGCTTAGATCAGCTTGTTTCAACTTTTATTTATGAAGCACCATACATTGCCAATGTAAAAAACTGGTATCGCTAATTTAATCGTGGATGTCCTTCGTTGCACGATGAATTTTGTTAAGGTTGTTTAAAATTAATTTTTGTCGCATACCGTGAGATTGAGGTATCTTTGGGAATTAGTATGACGACCATTAATAAGATCTTCCATGATCACCGCGTGTTAAAAATGTTTGTTAGCGTGGGAACCCAAGCCATTTAAAAAAATACGATCGTGGTGCTTTAAAAGCTATGTATAACATCATGACGAATGCAGGATGTATAAATATAAAATCGAAACAAAATCAATACTCGACAAAATCCCACGAAATTTTTCTGTCCATACCCATCCCGCCGTTTTATGGCTTTTGGTTCAGCTGACTGAAACTTAATTGTTTGCGAATTGTATTGAAATAACTATTTATATTGATCATAGTAGTGCCAATATGACTTTTCATAGATCCTTAAAAAAAAGACTTACGAGCACTTCCCCAAAACAATTTTAGTTTTCGTTGAGACTACCTTAATTGCAAATTGTAATAATAGAATGCAACTCAGAATAAACCATAAATATTTAAAAAAAAAAAAGTTAAAATGTTGAAGTACCTCAAAAACGGGTTGGTCAAAATAATAGCAGTGTAATTTTTCATAAGAGAGTCTTTTAAAGAGACCAAGGTCAAACAAAATCTTCTGGGAGTGTTCTTTATATCCAATATAACAACTGTATATTCGAAATTAGTTTTAAGATTTATTTGAGTAGCCTATGCCAGCTCTGCCGCCTGCACGACGCTTTGGCATGGAGCTAACTCAATTTTGAATACACTGAAGCGTGGTCATTTGTGACTGCTTCTACTAAATCCAATCGATGTTTTAAATACAAATATATATTCTATGTTTGTTGAGAAGCGGTTTGGGACATTTTGGGAGAAAGATGTACCCGAAAACAACGAGGGGTTTTTAAAGCTAAGTTTTGTATAGCCGTATACTTTGGGTTCTTTTTCTGAGTACAGAATAATCGGAAGGCTGTCAGCCCATAGCGTGTGCAATCTCCTACATGAGTTTTGCAGATCATTCATAAATGAGAATAGTCCACAAACCGAGTTTTTGTGCCTGAGACAATTCTGACATATCAGATGTTTTGTTGTTGTTTTTTTACTATATTCCTGTCTGTAATTGTTTACATTTTCGTAGTGAATTCCGATTTTTTGTTGTGACATCCCAGATGGATGGTGGAATAACTGGGAAATTTTCGGAACGGCAAAACCTTACGGACCATCCCAGAAATGGATGGTGGATGGTCGCCAGTGTGAAAAAGCTATTAGATTGAGATCGGGTGATCGATCCGAATGAATGAATTTACTCTATTAGCAGCGAACCACTCTTTGGCAACTTTGGGACTGTCCTTCGGATCTTTATCCTCAGATGCATATAAGGTAGAATCTTTTCGGTTGATATTTAAATGTATGAATGACGATCCAATATGTTTTTAACACATATAATGGTCAAATTCCGTAACTGGAAAATCTCGCCCAAACCATTGTTTACGATGGCGCAGTTTAAACGGTTTTTGCAGCATATTTTCTGTAAAATTCAGATAACCGTGGCAGTCTTAGATACTAACGAGATACCAGGCTACAAGACAAAGCAATTTTGGACTCCTTCGAAAATAAAATATTCCTCCACTTTTACAATGATCAATTTGGGTATTCCCTAATTGATTGATTGATCTACTGATATTTTGCCGAATAACTTCGTTGATTGCGTCTTTTGCTTTATGGTTCTTATTTCTTATCATTTCTGATCATAATAGCTGAACTCGTTCGAAAATAAAATATTCCTCCACGTTTACAATGGTCAATTTGGGTATTCCCTAGCAACATGCGACTGTATGTTTTTTTTTGGCAGTAAACATTTTTTCCTTGGGCTTCGTGTCATTAAATTATAATCTTTAACGCAAATGCTAAGCAACCAATAGCCCTTTAAGCACGAACGCTTTTCCGCTCTAGAGTATTTGCCGCGCCCCATGATATCGGCACCAAATGAATGAAAACGAAACTAAAAAAGCATGAAACTGCTAAATAAATCATTCAAGCATTGTTTAACAATGAAAGCCTTGCAAAAAATGCAGTAGATTGAATAATTTTTAAAGGTGTCTGTAGCACTACTATTATTTTGACCGCATTAAAATGTAGATACTTAGCAAAAAATTAAAAAAATAACGCAAAGAAAAGAGACACGCTAACTATAACTTTATAATCAAGGACACCAATGCTTGATAGTTGTGCGAGTAAAGAAACAAATTCGATTGCTGAAGAAATAGCTGAAAAAATGAGCAATCAGGCAGGCTCCGGTTTTTACATTCACTTTGCGTTTTACTTTTTTTACTGGAATACACTTTTGTGAATTTGCTTACCCTTTTTACTGTTAATCGCCAAATGTACTGCTGTTATACCCACGCGTTAACAGAGATTTACCGATAGCCAAATCGGGCTGCCACGGCTGTTAAGATTAATTCACATTTTTTGTATGCCCTGACCAATTTTTTCAGATCTAATTTTGAGGTTGGTGTTTATATACAAATTATTTATAACGAGAAGGAACGTGTGAGTCGCTTCTGGGGACGCGACTCTACTTATACTCGTACTCAGTCAATACATATATTACTACATATACATTTTTTTACTACATCTGTTATCTACATCTACAATGTATATTCTACATCTAACATGTAGATTGTACATGTACCATTTAGATTCTACATCTCCTCCGCTAGGGGTTGCTCGCGCACTGAACGCGGCAGAGTGTGAGAGCGAGAAAGAGAATCAGTAGCGTCAGCAGCGCTGGAGAAGGAGGGGAACCAACAGAAAATTAATTTCTTCATTCTGGCTATAATTATGATCCGATCTGATTCAGATTCGGCAATCTGGTAGATATGGTCATTCTCTACGATACTACGTTTTCAGTTTTATCGTATCTTTAAAATTTTGCCTGCCACAGATTTCGTCCTTTGTGGTGGCGGGGCGAAACTTTGAAATACACTTGTAGCAGTGTGATATCACATGAGTCTGGAAACCACATTTGGTTTCTCTAGCTCTTATAGTCTCTGGGATCTAGGCGCTCATCAAGACGGACAGACGGCCAGACGGACGGACGGACAGACGGACATGGCTATGTCGACTCGGCTATTGATGCTGATCAGGAATATATATACTTTATGGGGTCGGAAACGTTTCCTTCTCTGCGTTGCACACATTCACTTTTACCACAATTCTAATATACCCCTTTACTCTTTTTTGAGTACGGGTATAAAAAGGGCACAAGTTCAATTGCAATGGTAATAGTGTCAAATTCATGTCAATGCATCATTAAGTCATCTATTTTTTCCTTTTGAAATTAAGATTTGTTTAGTTGTATAAAAAGCCGTTTACATTTCGTTTCGGCGAGGAATTTGTTAATTTGAAAGTAACTTAATATAAAACGAGAAGGAACGTGTGAGTCGCTTCTAAAGACGCGACTCTACTTATACCCGTACTCAGTCAGTATTTACATTTTTGAGCATATGATTTTTTTAAATTTTAGAATTTTAAAAAAAATTTTACATTTTAAATTTTTTTGCTACATCTGTTACCACCCATCTTACAATGTATATTTTATATCTAACATGTATATTATAGATGTACCATTCAGATTCTATAATCTTCTTTTAGGATGCTCGCGCACTGTATACGCGGCAGAGTGTGCGAGCGAGAAGGAAATATGAAATTGTGTTGTCGTGGACAGGAGGGGGCAGGGGAAGCAACTGAAAATTCGCCATTCTGGCTATAATTATGAACCAATCTGATTCAGATTCAGCAGTCTGGTATATATGGGCATTCTCTACGATACTGCGTTTTTAGGTTTCTCGTATCTTTAAAAATGTGCCTGCCACAGATTTTCGTTCTTTGTGGGGGCGGAAGGGGGCGGGGCAAAATTTTGAAATACTCTTGTAACTGAGTCACATGAGTCTGGAAACCAAATTTGGTTGCCCTAGCTCTTATAGTCTCTGAGATCTAGGCGCTCATCGGGCGCGCCCGGACAGACAGACATGGCTATATCGACTCGGCTATGATGCCGATCAAAAATATATATACTTTATGGGGTCGGAAACGTTTCCTCTCTGCGTTACACACATCCACTTTTACCACAAATCTAATATACCCCTTAACTCTTTTTTGAGTACGGGTATAAAAAAAAACATAAAAAAACGGAAAAGTCTAGCAGCGTTTTACGAGTGCGGTAGCGCCTGACTTTTCGTTTTGAAAAGCCTGCCTGTGTGTTTAATCCATAAAAGTCCAAACATTTTTATGCAAATGACTATTTGGTCCTAATATGGCTAGAAGTTACCTAGGCCGGAAACAAAAATAGCACCTTCGTACATTTCAAATGGAAAATGTATTCTTTCAAAACTCGACTTTTTCATTATTTTATTTTACATTTTTTAGAAGAAACGTAATGCCACAATGGAAATGCCCATATACAAAATATTTTTTCACATACATATTCATTCATCCGAATCGGCCCGATTTTTATGAACTTTTTCTTTGATATTTAGTAGGTATGCAAATAGGTCGTATAGTATTGTTCACCTTCCGTGGGTTAACGTTGTAGGATTGGCTGATCGATGGCTTTCTGCTGCTCCTCTCCTTCCCTAGGCTAAACATCCACGCCTTTGAAACTTCCAGCAAACGCCCAGGGTCGCGCCGAAGCGAACCACGTTTCCCCGGTAACCTTGACAGCGCGGCGGCACTACGACAGTTCGTACGTTTCCGTTTTATCAACTTTCTTATATATATACTGTATGGTTACTGATAGAGCTCACAAAGTGCTTGGGCATATTTTAAGAATGCAGTCAATGTTTTGACCTATAACCTAATATGTAACGACGAATAAAAGATGAGGAAATTTCTCTCGGGGAATCCCCAATAAAAGAGAACAGATAATGTTTTGCGATATTTACGCCTAGTACTCGAATCAGAACAAAGTGTAGCTAGCAAACACAGGAATGATATTCGGATGGAACCTTAAGGCAACCGTACTAGAACGGCAACCAATATTATTTTGCTGGGCATTAGCGAAATATAGAAATGTTTTATATTTCGCAGCCGAACAGGAATGGAGAAAAGAAAGTAGAAGGAATAATAGTGAACTCAATCTTAATAAGGCAGTCGAAGGAGGAAATGAGTACTAGGCTTAAATGTATGTATAAATAAAATATCGATATCATAGATATGTATAATAACAATATAATATAAAAAGTCAACTACACATTTAAAGTTTTTAAAATATATTTACTTTCAGTACGCATCTTTAAGTCTAAAATATGATAAACCAAGACTGGACAAAATGGCGAATACCTAGCAAAATAAATAAAAGCTCGAAATTATTCCGTAAATGATATTTAAGGCATACAATCAAAATATTTACCCTCAGAAATTAAAATGTACAATTTAAATAATCTACATATATATTATTTAAATAAAGTTTTGTAATTAATATTTTGTAAGTTTTTTAATCCCAAAATTTTTGTTTTCCATTTTTAATCCTCTTGCATTATGTTAGATACACAACGTATGCTTAATGTCTAAAAATTTAACATTTCAGCTCTATCCTGCTTTTTTCATATATATATAAGAACCGGTTGTTTACTATTATTCAATGGAAATGTTTGGGAAAAGACGAAAGACCGATTCAATAGTAATTGTGCTGGAATTCCTTAATAAACATCCTCTTCCATTGAAAAATCCGAGGTTTCTCCAGCATAAAGAGAGCTGAAAAAAAAAAAATATAGTGTCTCATAAACGTAATGAGACGCGTGCAGAAAAGTTAGTAAGCCAAACTGCCTGCTGAGCTAAAAATTGTGCTGCACAAGCGCAACTGGCACATACGTTTCTGATCTTAGATTGATTTATTTTTCATGGTTATTTTCTGTCGATTCAGTCATATTAAAAATTTTAATGAATTAAATTTTTGTTTTCCTTTACCGTCATACATGTGTATGCAGCAGAGATCAGTAGAACAAAAACAACCATGCATGAACGACTCCAGCCAAGCAGGCAATTTTGATATCAGCTCTCTGCATTCGCGCTCCCTAATAGATTAGAACGTACTTTACGGCTCGACTTGTAAAAAATACAATTCGTTTTAATTTTTTGTTATAAAAAAAATAGTTGAAAGACCATAAACAACCAGGTTCTCCAAATGGGTCTGAACTTAAATCTGGATTATAGCTATATATGTCGCATTCCGATAAGTTCACTTCGTCATCAACGGCAGACCACAATGGCTGACGCAAGACTTGATACTGATCTCCCGCTAATGCTGATAAGTTTGAGTGAATAGAGTTCATGACCCATTGTAAAGACGGCTCTTTACTAAACTCATGTGACTACGAATATAGAAGAAATATTAACATATTAAATAAACGATATAAGTAGAACTTCCTTACCTTTGCATCCGAAAAATCATAGTCTGGCTCAAATGATGCGTTTAAAGTAGCAATTAAGTAAAATAAAGTTTTGCGTGAAATAGTATCGCACAGAATGATACCTTCGTCGCCAGAGTGACTGTTGTTGCGACAAAAATTAGGTGAGAAGTCGGCTAATGTTTGTGGTGGCGATAGTGCCTGAAGATCGTGGCCATGGGTTTCAGCCGTAAACCGCTTGTATAAAACTTTGTCTGCAGCAACCATTTTGCTGTATAGACTTAATATGTAAATTTTATTTATCTTAATTGTTTTAGTTACATACCAGGAGTAGCTTTCTATACGTCCAAAGATTGTGATACCGCTTGTATGAATAGAAAGTGCATTATTGATGGCTTCAAAACGAGAACTCTCCAGTAGCTTCATGATGATCAATCAATTGCAAATTGTATAACTTGTGTCTCGTATTTTACACTGTTTTAGCAAATTTTATCAGAAAACGACTTAAGCAGAGTCGAATCTTATTGACATTTGCGTTAACTTAACGTTTTTTGATTGATATGTCTCCAACATAAGTTTTCCCCAGACAGGACAAGACTTAAATATTCTGAGCATGATTTTCGAATGTTCTATGTTTATATTTCACCTTCAAATGTATTTTTGTTTCCGAATACTCGAGAACGAATTGATTAATATGACACCTTGAAATCTGAATCAAATAACTTTAAGCAATTTGAAGTTTTTTTTTTAGACAATTTTGTTTTATAATTTAGTTGGATATGGATTTTTAAATTCATTTGATAACATTCGTGTACGAAATATACATTTATATACATACATATGTATGTGTGTAAGCAATTGAATTCGAAGACTACAAATAAATGGCGTTCGAGATGTTTGTTTTATTATTAACACTAACAATATTGATAAAATATCAACTCAACACAAGTTTCAAATATTATTTGTCATTATGATGTATGATCTTTCAACAGCTTCATGGAATAGAAAAGTATAATACATACATATGTATGTATGTATTTCTGTACAAGAGTATATGAAAACAAAATTTTTATATATTTTGCAATCGGACAATGTACATAATTTCAACTGAAATATTTTTTAACGAAGCCAATTTTATTTATTTATGTTTTAAACATTGAAATCCACAAAATATTAATTAAAGACGTATTACGTATGTGTTCGAACATTTATATGTATATGATGATACTGTATCATTTTTTAACTAGTTCATAATGGAACTGTTCATTAGTGTGACCAAAACTTCAGAATATTTAAAAGCATCTTAAAAAATAAAAATACCCAAATGAAGTATCTGGTCATTGCTGATTTAAGCCTAGTACCACTAACCATACAGTATATAGATGTGCCAGTTCATACAACGAATGGGGCGCGGCTGAGTTTGCAGCGTACGTTCCCAGATCTTCGGCTTTGGGAATGGCCGCGTTGGGCTCATGACGTCACACGAGCCGACTGGCAGCAAGCATGCATGTGTTGTGTACGTGTACACTCCAAAATTTGTAGAATAATTTTTAGCTGCCGAAACCGACTTTGCTTGAGATTTCAGTTTACGTAAACGTGTGTGTGCCATGTATTCACACATACTGTGCTTGTGTGTGGGCTCTACAATTGTTGGCCGCTTGAATTGGTTTTTCGTTTTGTTTTGAGGGCTGATGTGATGTAGCGACCTATTCAGGGCCGGATCAACCCTCAACCGGGCCCTGGGCAACCATCAATCTGGGGCTCTCCTTTATTTTGTATTTTTCTCAGTGGCTATTATATTTTTTATTCATTATTTGGAGTTTTATTTTTTCAACAAAATTTTTCTGTTATCCCTAGAAGGCCCTAGGCAACTGCTAATCCGGCCCTGGACCTATTCCCGTCGTAAGACTTAATATTTTCTTTGTGTATTCTGTCGCTTTCTGTTGACGAAGCGGAAAACAGAGGCAAAGGCTAGCCTAAAAGAGAACCGCGCGAATTACAGTTCTTGGGTGAACTGTGTGTCCAGTGAATCCAATTCTAGTACTTAGATGTACTGTGAGTCCAATAAATCCAGTTGTAGTAGCTATGTGTCTCCTAGTCCCTTGGTGATTTCCCGTTTAATAATCAACAACCTTCTTTCTTTCTGGTCAGAATTATATTGATGGTTTATTGTTTTCCAAGCTAAGAAGCGACTTATGGAATAAATGGAATACAATCAGAAAATGAAATGGAATGGAATGAGAATGAGAATCTGCTTAATGTGCCATGTATTCACACATACTGTGCTTGTGTATGGGCTCTACAATTTTTGGCCGCTTGAATTGGTTTTTCGTTTTGTTTTGAGGGCTGATGTGATGTAGCGAACTGAGCTGACCTGCCGCAACATAAATGAGGAATGGGCAGAGTGGGCGGGGGTGGGAAATAAATACAATATATAAAAATAAAGGATGTTATCTCTGCTCATATCTCCTAAACTAATATTATCTTGAAAATTAGATTCGCTAAAGCTCTGGAAAATGTTCTACTAGATGTGTACATTTATTTTATTCAAAGCGTTCATAAAATATTTTTTCGTTTTGTTTTGAAAAGCTGATGTTGCGACGGGCGCGCGGGTATTTCTTCCATTTTTTTCAGGCTAGCCTTTGCCTCTGCTTTCGGCTTCGTCAATGCCTCGACACGCGTGAGTCGAGCGTCAGAAAACGCCAACGGGGGGGGGCCCCCCCGGGGGGCCCGCCGGGGGGCCGGCGGACAGGATGTTTGAATATGAAGTCTGACGACGGGAATAGGTCCAGGGCCGGATTAGCAGTTGCCGAGGGCCCCCCTAAGGCTAACAGGCAAATTTGTTGAAAAAACAAAACTCCAAATAATGGATACAAAATATAATAGCCACTGATAAACATACAAATTAATTAAACAAACATAAAATTTATAAGTTTTTATTTCCAATGAAAAAAGAAGGAACTGGCGTGAAAAAATGGAGGGCCCCAGATTGATGGTTGCCCAGGGCCCGGTTGAGGGTTGATCCGGCCCTGAATAGGTCGATTTTGGTTTTAAACTTTAAAATTTAAAGTTGTTATTTGTTTGTACTGTGTGTATTTACAGTGGAGAATCAGCCGAAAAGAGGTGGCAATAAAATATTAAAATATTACAAAATATTTTATGAACGCTTTGAATAAAATAAATGTACACATCTAGTAGAACATTTTCCAGAGCTTTAGCGAATCTAATTTTCAAGATAATTTTAGTTTAGGAGATATGAGCAGAGATATGATATGAAAATGAAATGTACAAACATGTATTGAACCCTTTTTTTACTTTATAATTTATCAAGCTGGGCCCACTGCCCAGCTTCTGCTGAGCGGTTTCGAGCTCGCTCGGCTCGTTTCTTACGAACAGACGAAGCTGTCGGGCAGCGGGCTTGCGGTCAGAGACGAAGCATAGCCCAAAAGAGAATTGAAACCCCGCACGCTCCCTCTGTCCATGGGGCGCACTGGTAAGCCTCGCCATAGAACAGCTTTTTTGTCGCTCATGCAGAATCTTGGTATTGTATAGTCTGTGAGGTCCTATTTCAGGCTGAGGTATGCATCAGTCTGTCCAGGGTCCGCTACAAGAAAATTTGTAGTTTGTAGGTGACTTCAGGTGTCGGGCTGGCTTGAAAATGCAGTAGGCAAGCGGTAAATGATGATGCGAGAGTTTTGTTTTTGGTTGTTCTTGGTTTATTCAGTATTTATTCATTCACTTAATTCTTTTACGTTGCTACTCTGGCTTGTAGTTGTATGGTGCGCTGGTGGACTGCGTAGTCAGTGTTTCGTGTTCGGGCTGATGGACTGCCTAGTGCAGTGTCTTGTGTTCGGGCTGATGGACTGCCTGCTCTTTCGGCAGATCTTGGCCCTTTTATGCAGCTGGCGATCGCACCTGAGACCCGGAAATAATTAATTCTTGCTGACTTAAGGCTATTGGATAACAATAATTGTGGGGTGTGGTAACTAGGTCGAAGTTTGGTGCTTCGTTGACAATTTTTAGTGGGTCAGGGTGGTTTTGCTGATGCTGCATCCCGGAAGGTGCAGTTGGGAATTGGGTATTTGGTTTCAAAATGAGTTTTTGCTAACTCTGCATCGCGAAAGTTGAGTGGTAAGTCGATAATTTTATGCTGGCTTGACTTATTGTGAAATAACGCAAATGATATTTCTTATGTAGGCCGTCGATTGCGAAATGTCCCAAGAGGTGGGGTGTTTTAAATTGTTGTGTGGACAAGAATGTGTAGAGTTGTTGATCGAGAGTTCTTAATTAATTGTGTGCGTTGCTTAAGACTATTTTATTTCCCGGAGTTGCTGACACACCGCTATTTGTGGAGAACCGTGGCTAGAGCCATGGTTCGTTAGCTCTGTTGATATCAGTTTGATTATTGTCTCCGGCCAGCGTGGATGCGCTGACCTCCGCCGTTTGTGACGAGACATGGCTAGAACCATGGTTCGTTAAACCCCTGTCCTTTGGCTTGTGCCGAGTCTCCGGATTCGTCGCTGTTAATCTCGTCACTTTAGCGTGGCGTCGGTCTGTGATCGTGGCCTTTCTGCTGTTCTGGGTGCTTTGTAGTTGGATTTTGCTTGGTGGGTCGATTATCCCATATGACGATGGTTTTCTCGGCCGTTTTCTTTGGTAGTTATTTGTCCAGCCATTCTCGAATCTGCGGTGCTATGTCGAGTGGCCAAGGATCCATCGGTAGTTCTGGGTCGTCTTCGGTGGGTTCGGTGGCTCCGGGGTCAAAGGTTTGATTCGGGTTTTTCGGAAGGATGGGTTTGTCAAATGTGCTTGACGGATCTATGCTTCGGTGGTAATCGCTTATGTGGGCGATGATCGGGGAGGCGTTGGACGTGGGTGGAGTAGTTTTGTAGCTCTGGCGGAACACTTGGGTGGAATTGTCTCCAGACTGGTGCATGAACTGGCTGGCCTCGACGATGTCTCTTTTGTTGGACCAATGGCTTGTTTGGGCGACGGATGCTTGGGTCTGTGGGGCCAAGTCCGGCGGCCACGGCTCCGGGACTGGTTCGGGCTCATGTTCGGTTCGATCGGCGGCTTCGGAGTCAAATGGCTGGCTGGGGTCTTCGGGTAAGAGGGTTGTGTCGAAGGAGCTGTGCGTTTCGATCCTCCGTTGGTAGTCGCTTATGTGGGCGACGATGGGTGTGGTGTCGACCATGGGTACGATGTTTTGGTACGCCGGGTGTAGTACTCGTGTTATACTACAGCCAGACTGGTACGTGAACAGGTGAGTCGCGATGACGCCTCTGGTATCGCAGCAACGACTTGTGTGGGCGACGAAGATCTCGGACATGGCTCTAGGCATGGCTCGTTGCATGGCGCTAAGAATCATGTCAGTACGCGGAAGGTACTCCATTGTGTTGGCGAGGATCGGTGTGGCGTCGGCCGTGGGTACGACAGGGCGGCTGTCGGTTTATCGTGGGGTTATCGTCCTGGTTTCCGGGCCCGCGTTGAGGGGCTTTGTGGATATCAGTTCAATTATGGGCCCCGACCAGCGTGGGGTTAGCGTGGCTGTTTCCCGTGTTGCTGGGCTGTCGGATGGTGGTTGCCGTTGTCCTTTTTCGATGCTGGTGGTCGGTTTTGAGGGCCTTGCGTATCTTGGCGTGTTACGCGGTGGTGCGAAAGTGGTCGGGATGGTCCGCTCTTGGATGCTCTCGAACACGGTGACCATCATTGTGAGCTCTGCTAAGCTTTGTAGTTCGTGTCGCCGCACGTACATCTGGTAAGCTGGCAGGTAATCCTTGAACAATTCCCCTACCGCTTGCTTGCGGGCCCGGATTCGGTCTTCCAATTGTTCAAAATACCGTGGCGGCAAGAAGAAAGTCAAGAATTCTTCGCGGAAATATGCCCATGAGCTGCCTTTTAGTTGGCTGGTGCGGTACCAGCGACTGGCCCGATCGGTGAGAAGCTCTGTCATGGCCCGAGGTAGCTGATTCGTGTCCACCCCATATG